ACAAGGCTGGCTGCAATAGCTCCTTCTTATTGTGACCTCCACTCCGTGGGATCCGAGTCGGCTCCCATCTCCCCTTGTTGTGTAAAATCCTGTTCAGCGTGCGTTGTGGACCACGGGGGTGTGGTGGCACACCTAGATGCGGGTTTTCGCCGTGCCATTCACCTGCGCCGTATCCCGTCTCCGGTCTGCCTGACTGTGTCTTTAAACATGATCCAAGTGAATTAGAAGGAGGGAGTACGGTGGGTGCTGCACAAGTCCATTATCAATATAAACGAATTCGCGCGCAGGTCACCGTCCCTGCTCTCACGCTGTTATGGAGTGGACATCGTCGGAATCGACAGTCGAACTGTCACATACTGTCTGTGAATGACAGTCGTTCGCCATCCACTTCATTCAGCATGAGGTCCTTAATCCGACGGTAAGACCTCTACTGAACTGGCCTGTTCGACAGGAAGCCCGGAGGTTTGGAAACTGACCGTTCTAACTACTCCAAACCTTCTCATAACAGGCCCACCGACAGTGCTTGGACTGAAGGCCCATGTCAGTTCGGCCATGGCAAACGATGACGTCCGTCATATGTCTCAAAGCATGGTGGGCGCAGGATGGCAACTTGCGCGCGAACTAGTTTACTCTGATAGCAGGCTTTCACAGCATCTACCGCACTCTATCCTCCTGACGCCACGACTAACCCCATAAAATTCTCCGTCAACCAACTGACTTCCAGAGTCGCTAATCACCGATTCACGGCTCTTTGACAAGAACCTCGCCTGTCTGTTTTCAAATTAGCTTTCTTACTTTTCCGTAAAACGTCACAGACCGTCCTACAGTAAGTGGGCTAACTCATGAAATCTCAGTAGAAATTCCGAAATGCGTTTTCGTTTCGAAAAGATCGATTAAGTAGCGTTGTAAAATCAATCATCGCGCAGCATAATTCTATAATAGATCAGTTACCCCAGGACGCCTGCTTTCGAACAAACGTCTTTGCGGCTGCATCCAAAAACCATACTCTGCAAAAAATGACTACTTAAGTAGCATGCAGTTTTCTCATTGATTTTCGATGCCCTTAAAGATTTAATTATATCTCATGGAAAACATGCATAAAAAATATTCATTCTTTTACTTATTCGGTAGAAAAGCACATATTCATCCGATTTTATACTCGAAAGAAGAGTGTAGTTCGATTTTAAAAAACCTTTCTAATTCTCGAATAATTTTGAACCCGACCTGCTGTTACACTTGCACTCGGGGTTTCAAAACTACACGTCGTTTGGTTTCCGCGTACGGAAAACCATACATTTCTGTACCGTAGTAAAAGGAAACCATATGGGATTCATAAAATTAAGCGGTGGATTTGAACGAAATCGTTACCTTTACAAGTCACATTGGTAAATGCCGAGAGATGACGTTTTATGAACGGCTATTTCACAGTATTAAAAAATCTCACAATAATAAACTTTTTAATACCGAATTATACCCCTCCTTTAAGTATAAACTTGAAAGAAGGCGTTATTTTCTACGGCATGAGCGGAAGAATGAATATTTTTACGCATGTTTTCTATGAAATCAATGAAGAAAATTCATGCTACTTAAGTGGTCATTTTTATGGGTTATGGTTTTTGGATGCAGCTTGAGGGACGTTTGTTCGAAAGCCGGCGTCCTGGAGTAACTGATTTATTATAGAATTATGCTGTAGGCTGATTAGTTTTACAACCCTACTTAATTAATCTTTTCGAAACGGAAACGCATTTCGGAATTTCTCTCGAGATTTCATGAGTTAGCCCACCTACTATATGTCGCACCCTTTCAGACATTTGTTATCGTATGGCTATTAATTTCCTCTCTTCCGTCGCCAATCAGTTTTGTTGCAGCAATTTGACAGCGTCGTCAGTACAACAATTCCTAGGCGCAAGCCAATGCCCGCTGTATGTAGTGAACGCCGAGACGTCCTGAACCCAATCATGCACCAACTGTCAATTCGATTACCACGCCGGTCGTAGATACTGCACCGCGCGACAGTGCGAACACAGTCTCACTTCTTGAAAAAGGAGACACGATCGCTGGGACAAGAGCTTTATTAGCCTGACGTTTCGGATTCCTGCTCGAACCCATCATCAGAGACAAAAGCAGATACGGGTGGTACATGCACAAGGGGCTGCAGTATTTATAGCATGCAGTCGTCATGCTACCGCATACCTATGGACATTCACGGTTCTCCCCTTCATTCGGAATCGTCGCAGTTGGTGTGCTAATTGTTTGATGGGAGACATTCGCGTCGTTAGTTGCTGAAATTTTATCACGTGCGTTGGATGTTGTTGTGATGATTGCACGACCATCTGACGCACCGACCCTAGGGCGTCCTTACACAATTGCGTTTGTGGCTGATTGGGTGATTGCTGTTGAAGTACTGAACTGCTTTCTTTTGCTCATTTGGAAGGAAATCACATGATGTTTATATTTTCTGTCCGAAGAAAGTGTGTATTTTGGTTTTAAAAAGTGTTTCTGATTCCCAAATAGTTTTCAGCCTGATCTGCCATTGCATTAGCGTTTAGCAATTTCAGTCTACATGGTGCATGCTTTCCGCTTAAGGACAATCATATATTCCTCTATGCCTTTAAGAGGATACAACATAGAGTTAATGAAATTTTTTCAATGGATCCGGTCTGTCTTGTCCATTTCATGAGGAGCATTAGAAAACGACATGTGCGGTCTTGCATGCATAGACATCGCACGGTCCTACAAATCTCATAGTTAGAAACTTTTTTCAAATCTACATACACACTTTCTTTGGGCATACAATATGAAGACAGTGTGATTTCCTGTCAAATGGGCAAAAGAAAGCATATTTTGTGCATGTTTTCTATAAAATATATTTGAATTTATAAGACCATCGAAAATCAATAGGAAAAGTGAATGCTACATAAGTAGTCATTTTTCATCGAGTGTGGTTTTTGCAGGAGGTCGAAAAGAAGTGTATTCAAAAGCTGACATCCTGCCGAGTCCGAAATGTCATAGGGTTATGCTGCATGATAATCATTATAACAACCCTACTTAAATAATCCTTCCTAATTGGAAACGCATTCCAGAATTTTGGTTGACATTTCATGAGATCGGTCACGCACTGTACGTCAGGTCTTCATAATGAGGGTGTGAGAGGCTCGGGTATCCCATGTGTGGGACAGTCATAAAGCCCACATCAAGAAGGCGAGATTGAACTCGACACTTAGTCCACCAGTCGATCACTCCACGCGTACAAAGGCGGTACTGACTGCGAGGTTTGAGATACACGGCCAGCTAACAACATTCCAGGCCACGAAACTTAGTGCGTCGGCTAAATTTAAGTGCGTCAGATCGTTCGTAGTGAGGATATGGTCAAGCTGCTCTAGGCATGCAAATCACTATATAAAAATTTCTGTTAATTTACGCTTTTTTCAACGCGCAATGATTTAGGCTTTTCACGGAAACCAACCCAATAAATCCCATCTCCGTCAACTTTCATTTGCTCATAAATCATCCGATTAAAAGTTCGCTTACAGAAGAGTTATTTCTCCAAAACCTCAAAAATATTTTTAAAAAACAATCTCATGGTCAAAAATTCAGAAATCAGCTTTTTGGTTTGCTTTCAATCCGTCTGTAGACCCGTCGGCATGAAAGTCCGTTCACGACCAATTCCTGCAAAACACATATTAACCTTTTAGACACTGTAATTCAAAATGGACTCTGAATGGTCGTTAGGTATACCATGTCAAACTTCTGCCTGTGGCCGAATACAGGATACAGGTTTCGTCAATCGAGACAGAGGCATCATATTCTCCTCTTCCTTCCTGTGACATTTTTTATGGTTTTGCGCGTAATAATTCCTTCTTACACGGCACGCACAAAACTTTCGTTTTTGTTTGTTCCTTCCACTCGATGACGCTGTTCACTGAGATGCTCGCGCGCTTTCTAATCACCTGAATAACCGCGATAATTGGATCGCGTAACTATGATAATGGTAAGATCGCAGTTGGTAGCCAGGCAGTATACGTTGATGCTGTCGACGTACCTACTTGTTATCAGTTGGTGTGCTTACCTGGTTTAGGGAACTTGTTATCCGTAGGTGTACATTTAGTGCATAAGATTGGTCGCCCGTTTCGGTCAGGCTGTTGAGTTTGGTGAGGGCTAGAGTTAGGCGTAAGTTAAGTTTCAGGATTAGGTTTTGCTTTTTGGGGTCCGGTTTCAGTGTTAGGGTTAGGGTTTGTGTTTACGATTACGGTTTGCCTTTAGGGTTGGGGTTCGGCTTTAGGGTGACGGCTATGGTTTTTTGGGTGTTAGGGTTAGAGTTAGGGTTAGGGTTAAGGCCAGGTTTAGGATTAAAGTTAGGGTTAAGGTTAGTGCTAAGGTTAAGGTTAGGGCCAAGGTTGAGGTTAGGTCTATGGTTGGGGTTAAGGTTAAGTTTAGGGTCAATGTTAAGGTTAGGATTAGGGTTAAGGTTAGCTTTTGGTTTAGCTTATAGTTGTTGTTTGGGTTAGCGCTGGGTTTTAGTATTTCCGTTACGTTCCGGTTTTGGACTTAGGGTTTTATTTTTATGGTCAGGGTTGGATTTTAGGGTTATTTTTTGCCTTACGATCAAGGTTGGGGTTGGGGTTTCGTTTTGAGGTTAGGCCAGGTGGTATGGTCATACTCAGTGTTTTCCAGCGTTCTCCTACCGGCCTATACATTTTCCCCACCCGTATAACCTCCTATCCCACCATTCCCGTAAGATAGGGACCTCGCCGTCCGCTTTCTCATTTCTGGCTATCAGCTGCGATCTAACCCACTAAATTCATATTTCTATTGATCTACGTTTTCTTCAAAGCGCAATAAGTTAGGCTTTTCATGGAAAACAAATCAATCAATCCCACCTCCGTCAACTTTCACTTGCTCATAAATCATCCGATTAAAAGTTCGCTTACAGAAGATTTATTTCTCCAAAGCCTCAAAAATATTTTTAAAAAACAATCTCATGGTCGAAAATTCAGAAATCAGCTTTTTGGTTTGCTTTCAATCCGTCTGTAGACCCGTCGGCATGAAAGTCCGTTCACGACAAATTCCTGCAAAACACATATTAACCTTTTTAGACAGTGTAATTCAAAATAGACTCTGAATGGTCGTTAGGTATACCATGTCAAACTTCTGCCTGTGACCAAATAGAGGATGCTAGTTCTCTCAATTAAGACGGAGTCGCTATACCCTCCTCTTCATTCTTGTGGCATTTTTATGGTCTGGCGCTTAATATTTCCTTCTCACCTGGCACGCACAAAACTTTCGTTTTTGTTTGTTCCTTCCAATTGATGACGCTGCCCACTGAGATGCTCGCGCGCTTTCTAATCGCCTGAATAACCGCGATAATTGGATCGCGTAACTATCGGCGGGTCCGTGAGATAAGCGCATTTCTCTTCTGCGCCTGATTACTCTTAAGCGTCGACCACGCCGGTATGGTTTTCCATTCGTCTTTAAGAGTTAAGAAAAAATCCTCTATCTACCCCCTACTAACTAAAGCAGTTTTTGCTGTAATAATTGATTATCTTCAAATGAAAGTTCGTTATCTATCAATTTTCTTATTATTGATGAACAGGGCTGAACTACAAGATCCGAATGACCTCGCGCCTTTACAATCTAACCACTGATTAACACCTCTGAATGCATGAAGTCTAGGCGAGGTAATATGTGCCATGGAACTATTACTTCATCGATCTGATTGGCGGATGGAACTTGCCATTTGCGCTTGCGGAGTTCAATGTTATGATGGTACAAGCATGTCGCGTCGAGTAGCAGCTAAGGGGATCGCCACTTCCGACCTGTTTGCTTGTAAAGGACAGCACAGTGAAATAAATGACCCGAGAATCCGGTTCGTCTGACCTAAGATATACCTATCACAGTCTCCCTTGTCATTCTAGGTATTTCCTCCTGAACCAGTACAGGTCACTGTACACTTGCCTGTGGTGACTCTAGATTGAATTCCAATGGGAAGATTCTGTTCTGCAACCTGATCGGTGAACGCCTCTCTTCCCGATCGCTGCTGACAAGACAAGGGGTCCACGGTCTGATGGTAGGGCGTTGGACGTAACGTAAATCGCCTGTCCAATCTTTGGACTGGCTGATGACGACTATTCAGCCAAAGACGCCCACTCCTTTGTAAACATTCCTTCCCGATCTCAAGTCCCTTCACTCAACTCGCAGGGTAAATCTTTAGATGTTCGAGTAACTGGTCGACTCCTTGGATACCCGATGTGCGGAAGCATTTTTCGGCGGAACTCAATGGTACACCTGTTTGTCTTCTGCGTATACGTCATTGGCCGCACAATCTCGGTAGAACAGTCGTTTAAAATGAAACAAACGTCCGCCGAAGTGATTGAACTGACTGCAACAGCCTAGATATTGAGCAACACGTTCCATGTGCAAGGGTTGGAGGCTCGAGTTCGGCTCACAGCAGATGCTTTTACGATGCATGTGTTTGTTGTCTCCACCGGCTACTGACCCTGCAGACTCTGCCGTACGTCCGAACCCAAAATGGTTATCATAGCTGTGTTTCTCGATTTCTGTAGTCTACTCCCATGACATCTGGACTATCCAAATTGTCACCGTACAAAGGTTTGCTGCACAGTTTGTGTTTAACATCCTTACTGGAATCTTTAACTATCACTTTATAGAGAAATAGGCAAACTAAATGCGATTTCAATCCGGATAAGCAGTAGGCGCAATCTCGTGCTAGTTCGCAAAGTTAAGTATGCTAGCCGCTGGATCGAAAGTTTTCATGTTACTCATGCATCTCTCGCTTGACTAACGTCGCTGCCCAGGCAATGTGTGATCTACCACTAATTCTCTATTCCTGTGATAATCTGATTCTAGTGCCCAAAAGACCACGCAAAAACTACATTTCAGACTTTACATTCCCTCCTAGTTTTGTCCTCGAAGGAAGGACTTCTAAAATTTTGTAATTCTAACGGGTTTTGAGGCAAGCAAGCCAGCACTCGCGTTGCCCAATGCCTGTAGCTCTTATGATGCTGCTTACGGGACAAATATCATTATCCACCTGTGCATCCTTAAAAAATTAACACAGTAAATTAAACTGTTGCGCATACTTTCTGAGATGCACAACCGAATTTCCAGAGATAGTAAGTCGGTGGAAAGATAAACTCTATTTACTTAGAGACACCATCCCGAGAATGATATCTTCCGGTCACTCATGCTAGGCAGAAGTGTAATTTCAACAAAATAATATTTCTTTCTTCGAAAATATGCATAAAGGTCTTATTCAGTGGCCCTACTCGGAGCGCCTGTTGCAACGCTCCGCCTCTTGAGTGTACCAGTAGCAGTCATATCTCCTGTCAATCACAATTATCCAAACCTACCAATCGACTTCAAGGCCGACGCGGACGTGCTCGCTGAAGGTGCTCTGACGCATGGCCTACTGACACTCGACACACCTGATCCTGGAGCACCAAACGTTTTCCCTAATCCGCCTGCCAACTTTCTCCAATCCATTGTCTAATCATTCTGTAAAGAATACAATCCTGCATCTTCTGGTTTCCACCTACTCCTCATTCTCTTAGGGATCAGGTCCTGACGGTACAAGTTCTGACGATCGGATGCATTCCTAATTTACAAAATAATTGCTACTTACTGGAATTACGTAGTATGAAACAATCTCAGTTTCAAAGGAGCTTTTAAGACTTGTTCCCTACGAACAGTTGACTGGAACATGGCTCTTCTTGAAACTTTTATATGAAAACTTGGAAAAACTGTTGTTCTAAACAAATTTTTGAGACCCGCTTCCTTTTCAGACTACCCCAACTTCCAAAATACTTCTAATGATCAATGTCCGAAAACCGCAACCACACAGTGTTGCCATTCGCGTGGAACAGGACTGGAGCTTGAAGTGTCCGGGTATGAGACCGCGTGTGAACTCAGACAAACATTTCCGAAATTCCTCAGCTTATGCAGTTTCCAAAAAAGAAACCCCCATGTACTCTCATACACCGCATTTCTACAACCTGGCCTTAGAAATCAAGCTCTTTCATTGTCCTCCCAACGAAAAGCTTCAGAGAACAGTTCAAAACACCACCAGTCAGACGAGACTTTTCTCACTAAGCGCGACTTTCATAAGGGACGGTTATAATCACTGATAAAAATAAACATTGCCATTATGCGTTAATTAACACAGGTCATGCGCGGCATTAAACGACATGAGGACATCCCCCAAGCGCAAACACATCTAGGGAGTTCGGTCGGAGTTTAAAGAATTCTGGTGCATATCCTACCTCCGCAATCGCATACCACAAAAATGAGAATTCTTTTGTCAACACAAACACTCAATATCCTTACCGCGTACATAACGTTGCCTTGAACTTTCCGTGTTGTGTGTGCAGTAGTTTTTTCACCCACGTGTTGGCACTTCATCAAATCGTCACCGATTATGGTCACGGTTGTCTGAAGGCACGGAAGTTAAAACATCATTTTGGCCTGTTCACTCAAAAAAGACCACTCACCTGTACAGGCTCGCCGTCGGGGTTTTTGTCCGCATAAGGAACGTCAGGCTGAAAGGACGTTTCAAAGGACTGTGCCGAAGTCGAAATTATTAATCCGTAGCCATCACCAGTGCGGGAGAAGTGCAAGGTGAGGGGCAGGGCAGCTGCCGCCTTCCTTTTCAAGAAATTGACCCCAAGACTTTTCAGAACCGCATCCAGTCCATCAACGCTCTCCTGCTTCCAGCTCCCTATGAAAGCCGCCATCTGCGTATCTCGTTGTCTGCTCTCTCTGGTTTCCTTGCTTGCGGTGGAGCTAGAAGCGGTAACAACGGCGGTCAATGGGACGCCTGCTTGGCTGCCAATGAGCCAATCACAATGCGACCCTTTGCAGTTGAGCAGTGGGGTGAAACCCCAAGCACAGATGAGCATGACCGTGAAAAGGACAAACTACTTGTCAGCCGTTCATGCAAAACAAAAGGTTCATTCAGAAGGTTAATTTCCCCAGTACGCAGTCAGCGGTGAAAAAGGTCTAACGCTGGCGCTAGATTATTTACTTGCATAAATTCTCTATAGCTTGTATCTGAAACAAAACTGGCTGGAAGATATATGGAGAGCACGCTTTATTCCACGACAGTGGCTCAGATTTATGTCTATTACGAAGGACGGTTTAGTCCGGCCTGGTGCAGATTAACGAGTGAGAATTAAGAACACTGCAAATTACAAAGCGCAAAGTAATTTCTTACAGAATATAGTTTTCCCATGCAGTCCGAAAGAAGTTAGTTCGAAAGCCGGCATCCTGAGGCAACTGAAATATTATAGAATTATGCTGCATGATGATTAGTTTTACAACTCTGCTTAAGTAATCTTTTCGAAACGAAGGCGCATTTCGGAATTTCTGTTGACAATTCACGAGTTAGCCCACCTGCTGTACGTCTTCTGTGGCATTGCCTACAAAACCCTGCCGACCGCGTGTTTAGCGCAGGACTTAATCCCGCACTGCTCTTATGATCACCTTACCTGCCGTTTTCTGCTAACATCAGTTATTGGTGATGAAGACTGGTCAAGTATCGGAACAGTTTGCTTATTATTCCGAACTTCCGAACTTGTGCAATAGTCAGAGATAGCAGCAAGAACAGAAGGGTGAGAAAATTATGCGGCGTGCTAGCCAGTCATTTATCGATGACACAAGACTGGAGGTGGCTGCGACGGCGACAGATCAATAAATCAATTGGCTCCTGGACGGGTTTGAAAGCTCAGAACAATAAGAAGACTGTTCCGGTGCTCGCCCTGGAACTCGAACTTTCGCTTCCAATCGTGAACTTTTGGTATTATCGGGACTTTTTTCGATGCACAACTAGTGACTGATCTCATGAAATGTTGGCTGAAATTCTGAAATGTGTTTTCGATTTGGAACGATTACTTAAGCGCGGTTGTAATACTGATTATCTTGTAGCATAATCCAATAATATTTCGGACTTGGCAGGATGTCAGCTTTTGAATACACTGCTTTTCAATCTCCTGTAGAAACTGTACTCGGTAAAAAGTGAATAATTTGGTAGCATGCATGTTTCACATTGATTTTCGATGATCTTGCAAATTCAAATATATTTTATGCAAACCACGGACAGAAATATGTTTTTTTCAGTCGTTTGATAGGGAGTCACGTCATTTTTATATTTCATGCTCGAAAAAGGAATATAATTAAGTTTTTAAAAGTTTTCTATGCCACGAATAATTTGGAGCCTGATCAGTCGTTGCACTAGAACTTAATGATTTCAGTCTACAAGGGGCATGCAATCCGCGCAAAGAAACTCACATATTTTTCTATGTCACTAAAGATATATCATACAGAGTCCATAAAATTTTTTAATTGATGCGGACTTTGTTGTACATTTCATGAGGAGCAGTGGTAAACGGACAGGTACGATGCTATATGAATGGACATTGCTCGGTCTTAAAAAATCTCATAAAAAGAAACTTTTTTAAAATTTAATTATACGCCTTCTTCGGGTATAAAATACAAGGATTACGTGATTCTCTAGCAAGCGACTGAAAAAAAAAACATTTTTTGTCCGTAGTTTCTGTAAAATATATTTGAGTTTTCAAGATCATCGAAGATCAGTGGGAACAATGCATGCTACGTGAGGGATCGTTTTTACCGTCTACGGTTCCTACAGGTGATTGCAAAAAAAGTTTATTCAAAAGCTGACATTCTGGCAAGTCCGAAGTATTATATGATTATATCGCAAGATAATCAGTATTACAACCGCGCCTAAGTGGTCCTTCCTAATCGAAAACGCATTTCAGAATTCCATTCAGCATTTCATGAGATCGATCACTCACTACAGGTGTGTACATGTGTGGATCTACGAGATGGATTGGGTTGTTCTAGCAGATTTAACCGGGGCCTATATAAGAGCATGGCCACTTTTCGATGGGGCCCTATGCCATGTCACTTTTTGTAAGGATTTTCATGCTTTGACGGCTCAAATTAGATTTGTCACTAATATGCGGCGGATGCAGTGTGAAGCTGTTCCATCGCCTCAACAAATGTGGCGCGCTTCCAAATTAGCAGGATTGGCCAAAATTCGTGGCTTGGAAGTTACCTGACTGGGGTTTTTGCTCCGCCATAACGTTTTATTTTCACTACGACCATCATGACAACCCCCATGACAAAAACGGCACGTGCATGACGCGCGTAAATGCGGGTCTTTTGAAGTCGGTCGGCGTACTCACGCACAACCTCGATACCTTCACCGAACCTCGCCTATGTCACACAACAAATATGAGGCGAGTGAGATAGGTGCTTCGAAAGTCCGTCCCAATATAATTAAACTAAAAGTAAATTCAACCCTGATCCTTCTGGACACAGGCTGTCATCGTTGCCTGCGATGTCCGAAGTTCCAACTGTCTCGTGATAGTAAGACAACGTCTCGGATGTTCCGAACCGCTCATATCCAACGCAGTGGTGGCCTCTTTTGTGCTACACGAGTTACGATCAATATGCGAAAAATTCCCGAAACCTTGACAGGAATACCTAAGTGAGCCTGTAGAAAGTAGAATAACAACACGTCGAGTGTAGAGGTGTAGAGAGAAGTTTCCCACTGATGATCTAAGGTCGTGGTAGGTTATGAAACGGAAAGTCAAATACTAGCCTCTCAATCGAATGTGCAAGAGTCTACGATGAACGACCATGTTAGGAAGAATATCGAGTAGAACACGACCTACTTAAACACGCACAGTACGCATTCTTTATACGCCGCAGGTACTTGGGAGTCTTAACTAGATCCTTGCCGTTTCCCATATCAAAACTCGGGAGAAGAAAAATTTAGTAAGATAGGGAAGGCGAAAGCGCCTCAAGACCGGCGGCCGCCAGTTCTGCCACGTCGGGAGCCCAGCTCTGCTGTTCTGCCGTGTTAAAGTGCTCTTGAGGCATATCCGACTGCGGCAAATCAGTGAAGAGTAAAATATCGATTGGCGTCACCGAGTTGCCAGGCCGAAGAGCTGAGTCACACGCGACGCACGCAGTCAATTAGCAAAGGTGGTTTGACCGCTGTCGCCACGCCACACCGAGTCGACGACTGTTCACAGTTCGGCCATCGCAAATGACGATGTCCACCGTGTACCCCACAGCAGGGTGAAAGCCGTGAAGATGACTTGTGCGCGAATAAGTTTATACTGCTATAGGAGGGCATTCACCGATCATTCTTATGGAACTCACTGGTCCCGTTGTGCCTCACGGGCTCCCTCTCTCGATCCCAACCATCAGCCGCACAGCGGCGCATGATATAGGCAGTCTATTATTACCGACAAATACTAGGGCGACTGGAATGGCCATTTCTGGTTTACTGGCCGTCGTCAGCCAATCATACCCAACCCCGAAGTGTGTGGAACACCCGAGGCTCGAACTCGCGACCTGTTAGCTGGAAATCCACGCCTCTAACCACTGGGCCGCGGACCACATTTTGGGGTTGGGCATGACTGGCTGACGACGGCTAATAAGCCAAAAAATGGCCATTCCAGTCTCCCTTGCCTTTGTCGATACTAATATTTTGTTTATACTGATAGAGGACTTGCGCAGCATCTGTCGCACGCTTTCCTCCTTCTCCACCTGAACCCGTTGTCACTACCGAGTCAAGAAGACTGGAGGCAGGTGACTGGCTTAGTGAAAGTCCGCAACTAAGCGTACCACCACCTCCTGGTGACCAGGAGGCTGGGACCCCAATTGACGTAGCGGGAGCCTCCTAATCGGCCTTTGGCTTTCCATTCTCTGGATCGTTGATTTGTGTCGCTGCCCTTTTGTCCGCATCACGCTCTTTATCGTTCACTGTCTGTACCATACGACGCTTGTCACTACTCTCCTGTGGTCTTGAAGTCGATCAACGCAAATTCTTCGCCGACTGGTTGCAGGTGCACACATTAGATCAATGGGTGACAACAGCAGCAACGGCAGACTCACGGGACGTCGCCCTTGCGGACCTGACTTGACCAATACAAAGACACAGGACGAGGCTTCACGGCGGCAGCTTGTGTCGACGGCTTGTAGAGACGTTCTATGCTCTTAACTCCATTAAAGGTTTCAAATTTCTGATCTCTCTTCCCTCGCCGTTTATTTGAGAACTTTTGAGTCAGCTCGTCTTACGACAGACCTGAAATACAGTTTTCCCAAATTACGAAAAATTTCTTCAGTCAAACATCCTTTATTCTTTTTAAAAATGATCGAATACGCCAAACTGCAGTTTGAAATCTGAGCTATCTTGTAGGAATTAAGTTCCTCTTTAATCCAGGATATATTAGGCTTCGAAAAACGTTAGGATTTACCCAACACTGATTCGACGTGGTGAACTGAACTGATGGCAGTAGTATTCCTACCTTGACGAGAGAGACCACAAGCATCCATAGACAAGATATAACAATTCACATGAATTCAAAATATTTTTTTCAAAATTTTGCACTCCAATTTAAGATAGGGAGTCTGCTGACGTGCATGGTTTCCCCGGAGCTAACGTAGACTATGGTAAAACCCAGGTTTACCCTTGGAATTGTCACTAATGACCTGTAGAGGTAATCGATTCAAGTTAGAAAACGAGTGAATGGAACAATGGCTGGCGGCAGAAAGTTTTAGATCAAAATCTGCCACATGCAATCCTATTAATAATATCAACCATAATAATGACTATAATTGTATTAAATGCTAGTTTACAAGCATTGCCAAAACTTTGCAGGCATCGATGAAGCGATGGCATACCAATAATCCGGTGATTAGATGCTCCAACCGTGAAGTTGACTTCAAAAAATACTGACGCCTGCCCGAGAACCACAGGGCACAGGAAGCTATCCAATATGATCCTTGGGTCTGAAGATTTAGGCCACACTTATATGCGAAATATAAGTTAGGGATGAAAGGCTGACGAAGGAGACCACAGTGA